CTGGTCCCGCCGGCGCAGGTTAGCAGGAAGCTCTCCACACACTCACTGGACCTGGGCTAGGACTGGGTCCTATTATTATTTTTTTTGACATGTCAGTGTTTTCTTATAGGTCCTTGAAGTTTCATTTTTCTTCCAAGGTTTTTTTTTTGTTTGTTTGTTTTGTATTTTAGGGAAGGGCCTACAGGGTGTACAGGGTCTCAGTACTAGATCGGACTTGTACTGATCTGCCTGTTTACAGCCTCCCAAGTGCTGGGATTACAGGTGTGTGCCACCATGCCCAGACTCAATTGCCGTCTCAGAGCACCCTGGGGGGGGGGCGGGACCAGCACCAGCATCGCAGGCCTGGGGATTGAACTCCTGGCCCCTGTGCCTGCTTGCAGGTGCTTTAATCCCCTAAACTATTTGGCCGGCCCTCTTCCAAGGTTTCTGAGTTTTTCAGACTGAATTATTTTTACTGACCTATCTTAAATTTACATTTTATTTTTGAACTTTATTCTACTATTGAACCCATTCAGTGGGATTTTAGCTTGGTTATATTTTTCACTTTCAAAATTTCACCTTTTATCCTCTTTCTTTTTTTGTTTGTTCTTTTTTTTTGTCTTTTTGAGACAGGGTTTCATTATGCAGTTCAGGCTGGTCTTGAAGTCATTTTGTAGCCCAGACTGACTTTGAACTTCCAGTGATCCTCCTGCCTCAGCCTTCAAGTGCTGGGATTACAAGCATGAACCATCATGCCTGGATCCATTTGTTTCTACAAAAATATTGTCTCACTTTTTTTTTTTGGGTGTTGGGAATTGAAACCAGGGCCTCATCCATAGTAGGCAAGTGCTCTGGCACTGAGTTACATCCTCACCCCGAGTGTATCTGTTTTGTGCCAAGAATTTTTTTGGGGGGTACTGAGAAACAATTTCAGGGCCTTGTGCTTGCCAGGCAGACTGCTGTGCTGTTGAGCCATATCTCTGGAACTGTGCCAAGATTTTCTATTTATACATTTGTTTCAAGATTTTGTGATTGCTTGATTGAAGCAGGGCTGTTGCATTGGCTGTTCCCTTAACCATTTTTAAATTTTTATTTTTTGTTTTGTTTTGGACATTGTCTTGCTATATAGTTTGGGCTGGCCTTGACAGAGCTTACTATGAAATTTCCGCTTCTCACACTGCTAGTTAGTCACAAGAACTTCCAGGTTGTCCTGTCCCACGTTTGTACAGGCCTGAAACTCACAGGGATCTTCCTGAATCAGCCTCCCAAATGCTGGGATTACAGACTTGCGCCAATATGCCTGGCTATTTTATTTATTTATTTATTTGATATAGGGTTTTGCTACTCAATTCAACTTATAGTAACCTTCCAGTCTCAGCCTCTCCAGCACTGGGATTCCAGGCGTGCAACATCTCACTCAGTTTTGGTGGCATGCACAACACCCCTGGGGTTCCGGGGCCGGCATGGCATGTGGTGCTGGGGATCGAACTTGGGTCCTTGCGCTTGTCAGACAGGTGCTTAGGAACTATTTCCCCAGTCCTTATTTTTAGTTTTTTTAGATGGAGTCTTGCTAAATTTATAAATTGCCGAGGTTCAAATTTTTTATCTTTAAAAACAAAAACAAAAACAAAAAAAAAACAAACAAATTTTTTATCTTTCTGCTTCAGCCTCCAAATGTACTAGCATTAACAGGCATGTGCCACCATGTCTGGCTTAAAGCAGCAGTTTAAAAACTGTAAAATAATCCCAACAATATTTTGCTTTTTTTTTTTTTGCATTGGTGTTTGTTGATTACCTTTTAGAATATGTCTAGTCTTCCAGGTTATTCATATTTTGAATTTTGATTATAGGCTGAACACTTGAATATTAGGTTTTGAGACTATTGGTATTGTGTAAATTCTGTGGAATATGGTGCTATTGCTATTTTTTATGTATTTAGGACAGGGTCTACAGGGTCTACAGGGTCTCACTTCTAGATCAGACTCGGAGTGATGCACTTGTGTTCAGCCACCCAAGTGATGGGATTACAGGCGCGCGCCACCATGCCCAGTCTCAATTGCCATCTCAGCGCGCCCCGGGGATGGGGCTGGTACGCTATTGCTATTTTGACATGAAGTCTACTTCCCATTACAGGGAACCACCATGGCCCTTAACTCGTGGGGCTGGAGCAAGGGAGGAAAGTGAGCCATGGCGGGACTGAGGGTCATTTGAAGATGAGCTAAGGTTTTTTTTAATTTTTTTTATTTATGAGAGAGAGAGAGAGAGAGAGAGAGAGAGAGAGAGAGAGAGAGTGGTGTGTGTGTGTGGCCAGCTCAGCCCACCAGGGGGCGGGGCTGGCTGGCATGTGGTGCTGGGGGATCGAACCGCGGTCCCTGATGCTTTGCTAAGCTTGTTCTAAGTAGGTGCTTTAGACCACTGAGCCATCTCTCCAGCCCCATGATGAGCTAAGTTTTGAGGGGGGATAGATACTATTTTATTTGTTTTATTTTTTTTGGTGGTACCAGGGATCAAACTCAGGATCTTGAACTTGCCAGGCAAGCACTTATTCCACTGAGCTATCTCCCCGGCCCGATAGATACTATTTTAGACAACTGTGTCCAACAGTCATATGGAATTGTTGAGAGAATAAACCCTGGTGTCCTCAAGAGAGACCTGGGTGTGGCGGCAATGCGCACGTGGGGGGGAGGGGCATGAGTTTCAGTGCGCATGCCCACGCAGAACTCCCATCAGCCAACACGCAGTGTGTGGCCTTCGAGGATCGGTCGGTGTGCCGGTGGTGTACCTGCGTCTAGACTTGTCACCTGTGTGGACGTCAGCGATAGGTAATTAGATTAGTCTTATTAGAAAATTTAAGTGTGTGGGGGGAGCTGGAGGGCTTGGGCTGGTTGAGCAGCGATGGTTTGGGCCCTTGGAGGAGGAAGTACTTCGAGGTCGCCATTTTGTATTTTCCTCACAGGCTCTGCCACCATAGGCTTTGTCATTGGTGTTGGGTGGGTCTATATGAGGAACGACGGTGGGAGGAGGAGAAGGTGAGATTGGAGGTAACCGAATTCCATAGGGTCCTGAAGCAGCCGACAAAGGACAGGTTTTTGTGCCCCTGGTGATGACCCAGGGTGGAGGTGGGGCAGGGAGGCTGTTGCGGGCCGCAGCGCGCATGTGCATTATGCATTTTAGGCCAGCGCACGCTGCGTGGTGATTTCATGGCTGTGCTGGTCGGTCGTGTTCTGTGTCTTGACATCGTTTTTACTTGGTGGGACTGTGATAAATAGATCAGTGTGTATTAAGTATGAGGAGGATCTAGTCGGTTTCGGGCACAGCAATCTCAAGTTTTTGGAAGAGGAAAGGCCTCAGAATTGTCAACCTTTTCTCTGGCAGCATAGCCACCATGTGCTTTATTGTCTGCTCGGCTTGTGCAGGAATGAAAGAGGTTTGGGAAGGGGAGTCGTGTGTGGAGGTATCTCAGTTTAATAGGTCCCTGGAACAGCTAACAACAGATTCTGGGGTGGAACAGAGAGCCACGGCCGGGAGGTAGCTATGGGCCTCAATGCGCATGCCCAATTTCTTGCCTTCTGGGTGAGGCCGCTGTGTACTTGGGGATGAGCACCGAGCCAGGTGGTTATGTTCCTGTGGTCTTGACTTTTTTTCACCTTCTGGGATGTAGCTGGTTGGTCCCCAGATAAGTCCTCCCAAAAACTGAAGTGTGAGGGTGTGAAGAGGAGCTTGCAGAGCCTAGGAGTTGGAAAGGCCTCGAGGTCGTGGTCCTTGCCTTCACAGGCAGAGCCACCGCTGACTTGTGCCTCATCATTTTGGTGGCCCGGGATAAGGGAAGAAGGTGAGTGGTGAAGGGAAGGATTCAGGTACAGATAGTGTCAGTGCTGGTGGAGGTCAGTGTGGTTGGAGTTATCTGTTCTAGGAGCACCTGGGGCAGCTGATAGAGCCCTACATGGGGACCTAACAGGGAGTTGGTGTGCACAGTGAGAAAAGAGCTTGAAATCTGGGGTGCTGTGGGGTTGTGACTGCATCCTGGGTTTTATAGAGGGTCTAGTGAGGGTCACTTGTTGCTTCTCATCCCTGCCAGAGACATATCAAAATGGTCTTAGAGGGTATGAGGAGAGACTAGCAAGGGGTAGATTATCACAAAATTTTGTTGTAGGTGGTATATAGTCCTAGTTAGAGGGAGTGTAATGTAAGCAGTAGTCACTTGTGTTTTAATTTTCTAGTGTTTTCTTGACTATGTCCACGATGGGCCCTAAGTTACCTCCATGATGGGGAATCCAGTGAAACAAAACTTTGGCTTTTGCCATGTGCCTTAATACATTTTAAGACAATTTCTCCACCACCTTGGCTGTGACATAGACGGTTGCCTTTTTAGGCTGCCAGATCTGGTATGATTGCAAAGCAGGCATACTTAAAGTTATTCTAAGACTGTATTCTGGAAATATTTAGCATTGAAAACAAGTACATGTCACTATTTGCTCTTAGAAGTGGTCAAGTATAGTTACCTGTTTTTTTTGGGTGAGTGTTGATGCTGGGGAAATCAACTCAGGGCTTTACGTGTGCTAGATAAGTACTGTACCACTGAGCTATATTCAACATGAGTCCTTAGATACCCTTCTAAGTGGGTTTTCTAAAATTTTATTCTGCTTTCAGTGTGAAATATGAGTGAGGATGTAAGTTCAACATCTAAATCTGAAGGACAAAGAGATGATGAACCTACTTGCCCACCTGAGCCTGTGGTTGTGAGTGCTTTAATATTTTAATGTTTTCTTTTTCTTTTTTAATTTTAATTTTATTGAGAAGCAAATATGAATGAGACAGTTTCAAAGCTGATTAATAGGACAGTTTTGATAATCAATACATTGTACATTGTTACCTTCTTAGTGGTTATCCATAGTACAAGAAGCAGACAGGATATCCTGTCCAAACACTATTAGTACACCTCTTTCTTCTCATTGAATTAAGCGAAAGTAGCTGTATATCTATCCTAACTATTTTGTATATATAAATACAAAATGATCTTTCCCTTGTATCCCCTTTTTTTTGTTTAGTCCTGTCAGAGATGGATATTCTATTGGCATCTAAATACTATAGGTGTTTGAATTCAGCTAAACAATCCAACACTGTCTAGCAGTCTATAATATTAGTGGGTTATCCTCAGAAGTTATTGACTTGAGCCTTTTACAGCTCATCATATTAATATGTCTTTACTATATATACACCTCGTTTTTATACTTTTCTGCTGGATGGTTAAGACCAAGATAAAGCAAGACCTATATAACAAGAAATGTAACTTTTGTATCTGATAAGGTCAGTTAAGTACCCTCAGGATTTATCCTGTAGCCCTGTACTGCACTTTGTAGATCCTTTGTCAGTGTCAGCCATGAGGATGAGTCACGGTCATTGCTTGATTTTAATGTTTTCTATTAGAAATTTGTGAGTGTTTTTAATCTAGTAGAGATACAATAAAGGTTTTTTTTTTTTTCTTCCCCAGACCGGGGTTTGAACTCAGACCCTTGCACTTGCCAGGGAAGTGCTTATTCTACTGAGCCATCTCTCCAGCCCCACAGTAAAGGTTTTTCATGATAATAAAGTAATGGAATTTTATTTAAGGAACATTTATTTAGGTGCTTTGGGTTTGCCTGGATTGATAGTCTTAATTTTCCTCAGGTTTTGCTTATTATTCTTATGCTTTTTAATTAATGTTGCACACATCCATTCCAGCGCATTTTAAAATAGCTTCTAAAGTCTTTGTAGGTAACATTCATTTCTCTTTGGAAGAGAAATTTTATTAAGTATAAAGAGTAATGTTAGAAAATTGTCTTTTACACTTACTTATAGTTAGACATACATATGTACTCTGTAGATTTGTATTATTGTTATGTACTAGTAAACTTTTTGTTTCTACACACCTCCCCAGGCCCAGCAGCCCAGTCATGAACAACCTGAACAAGTGGAAGCAGATGCACCTGGTCAGAAGAGAGACGATGAAGAACCTGCAGCTGAAGGTGAAGGGAAGGGGAAGAAGAATGCTTGGTGTATGCGTGTGCGCTCCTATGTGGCTTCTGTATAGCCATATGTGCTCTGGACTTAGACATGCCAGAAAAGGAGAAAGAAAACTTTAGAAACAGTGCCTGAAAATTGGTTAGAACAGTGAGTGGGTTGTAGATGTTAGCTTAGCTTACAGGAGCCCCTCACTTTGATAAAATGCTTCCATTTTCTAATGAGAGAACTGAGGCTCAGGGTTGTGCTTTATCAAAGAACACTGGATTGGGGAATACATACTGTGCATATTGATCCAAAGTCCGTGTCCTTATATCCATATTGCAAAAAACTATTTTTTAAAAAAAATCTTAAAATTCAGTTGTCTGTACTGTAAGGTAATTCAGTAGTGGCCCTGAAATAAAATCCTTTTCAGTGAAGAAAGAGCAACTTCAGAAATAAGTTAGAGGATTATAGATGCTATTTCTTTTAATTGATTTTTTATATAAGTTTGATAAAAAGTGGATAAGATACTGAATTTTCAGTATCAGGCATAGTGTCTGGTTTAGTTTTTTGTTTTTGTTTGGTATGTGGGATTGGTCCCAGGCCCTTTGCCTTGGGCCATATCCATAGCCCTTTTCTGAGGCAAGATTGTACTGAGTTGCTCAGGTAGGACTCAAATTTGTAACCCCCCTGCCTCAGCCTCCCAAGGAGCTGGGATTCCAGGTGTTTGCCAGTGTACCTGCCTAGTATGATTTTTAAAAAAAATGAGTGGCTTTGTAAGACGAGATCAGTTTTTTTAAAGAGTTATAAAAATTTAAAAAAATATCCTGGGACTATTTGGTTTGCAGAATGTTCATCAGCTTGGGCTTTTCTTCTGTATTATTTTAAGTTTATTTTATTTATTTATTTATTTTTGTGTGTGTGGCCAGCTCAGCCCACCTAGGGGCGGGGCTGGCTGGCATGTGGTGCTGGGGGATTGAACCGCGGTCCCTGTGCTTTGCTAAGTTTGTTCTAAGTAGGTGCTTTAGACCACTGAGCCATCTCACCAGCCCCCTTCTGTATTATTTTAGGACTATTTTTTTCACTAAATATTTCTTGGTGACTGTTCATGCCATGTAACATGCTGGGTGCCAATGACCTAAGACTACTACTAAGAGACAGGATTTCATCCTTGAGTCAGAGACACTCAAATCACTAATGTGATAAGGATAATCACAAGTACAGTAACAGATTAAGTACACAGGGCAGGAAAGTTCTGAGGAGAATCTTAGGAAAGGAAAAGGGTAATATTTGGAAATTTTTGCTTTTCTGTTTTCTGGCAGTAGACTCTTGAGTAATGTGTTTGGGATTTTTTGTTTTGTTTTGTGTTGCAGTACTGTGGGTTGAATTCAGTGCCTTTGTAATGAGTTATATTCCCAGTACTATATTTTTATTTTGAGTTTCAGTCACTTGGTTGCCCAGGATGGGCTTGAACTTGGAATCCTTCTGTCTTAACCTCCCAGAGTGCTTGTAGTCCACATGTGTGCCACCACTTCTGACACTCTGGGGATTCTTATGTATCACATTTATTATCAAACAAGCTTACAGGTTTTATTTCATGACACTGAAGGAGGTAAATATTTATCATGCACTTACTAATATTTCATAATTTACTAGTTAAATTGATAACCTTTTTATTTTTAAGGGCCTGAACTGGAGGCAGATCTTGAAGAAGTGGAGCAGCCCAAGACTGGGCGTGAGCGGGGAGATGGGCCAGATGTCAAGGGGAAACGTCTGCCAGCATGGGACTACACTAAACTGCTAGGATCAGGTAGGCTACTCATTAAGCATACAAATTATAGGGTGTCCCTTTTCTACAGTATTAGTATTATATTTTTAAGAATAGATAACATTACTACTTCAATAACTTGAGTTCTTATGTAAATTATTTGAAATGTAGTTCATACCCCAAATGCCTGATTTACCCACTTAGAGATACAAACTGGGTCAAAGCCATATTGAAATATACAGTATGAAAGTATTTTCTTTTGTGTGTAAGTTCTTATACCTATAGCTAATAACAAATACATAATACATTTATAATACATGAGTTTGTGAAATATGCTGAAGTATGTTCTAGATCCAGCTCTTATATAATTTGTGAGATTCTGGATGAATCCTTTAACTCCTAAACCCAGCTTTGCTCTTATAAAAATGGTTCAAATCAGATGTTTAAAAACCACTTTTAGTTTTGGTTTCTTTGTACTCTGGTTACGTTGGATGAGACATAGAATATAGGAACATTTAGTTTGCATGATTTATAATGCAAGCACAAAGTACCTGGTATTAGTCTTCTAATTTTTTTTTCTGTGCTGCTAAGCTATTTTGTTTGACCACGTTAAAAGATAAGTTTTCAGGTTTTTTTCAGGAGCCTAGTAAATGTAGCTAAAATATTCTCTTTGGAAAATTAGTTTTAAATATATGTGTTAGAAAGTGGTGATAAATTGCATTACATTTAATATAGAACATTTTTTAAAAGCACCAAAATAAATGTAATGGAAAAAGAAAAATTTCATAATAAAGTGAGTATGAATTACTAGAAAAATGAAAAGCAATGCAACTAATATGTCATTCAGATTATTCTTTTAGAAAATACTTGAAAAGTGCTGATGAGATAGCTCAGGGGACTATAGTACCTGCTTAGTCAAGCTTAGGCAAAAGCACAGGGACTGCATTTGATTCCTGGCACCACATGCTGTGCCAGCCCCTCCCTCCAGGGCAGGCTGAGCTGGCCAGAGTCTGGGCATGGTGGTGCACACCTGTAATCCCAGTGCTGGGGAGGCTGAAAGCAGGAGGATCACTATGAGTCTCAACTGTGTAGCGAGACCCTGCAGCAACCAAATACAAAATTATGGGAAAAAAATAAAAAATAAAAAGGAAAAAAAAAAAAAAAAAAAAAAAAAAGAAACTGAAAAGATTCAGTAGCTTAGAAATTCTTGAGAAAAATGGACAAAACCGAGATATTCACATTAATGTGAGTAAGACATTGGCAAATACTAAAGAAATAATTATCTATGTGTCTGTATTTAACTTTCTAGTTTTACATTTTTTATTTTTTAAAAATCTTTTTCTTACTCCTAGTCAGACTCCTAAGAGACTTTTTTTTTGTGGTACTAGGGGTTGAACCCAGGGGCTTTGTATCAAGCTAGATCTGTACCCCTTTTAAAGACAGATTTCTTACCAAGTTGTCCATGTCCTTTCATTTGCCTCATCTTTCTATGTACTTCACATTTTGATATTACCATGATAATAATGGCTTTGTGTGGTCATTTAATAACTGGAACACTTTTAAGCATGTGAAGAGGAGGTGTATGGGGCTGGAGATTTAACTCAGTGGTGCAGCGCCTGCCTGCAAACATGAGGTCCTGAGTTTGATTTCCAGTTACCCACCCCCTGAAAAAAAAGAAAAAAAGAAAGGTGGTATTCATAATTAGAAGTATTGATAAGAATGAGGACAAAAGGTGGTCTTACTTAAATCAACTCCATAAAGAGCTAAACTAGCCCCCAAATAATTTTTATACCTTTCACAATAAAGACAAAACAAATGCAGTACTGCTGTTTACTTCACTTAGGCAATTCGAAGTGTGATTTATAATTTTTGGTACCTTTGTATTCAGAATATTTCAAATAGAAACATTTAAATGACACTTTAGAAAAGCTTTCTTTTATTTCTTAGGTTTTTACACTTTTTTTTTTTACTAAAAGCTTTTACTTCTGCTTGAAACAACCTTAGTTTACTATTGTGAACTTGAGCGGTTTGTTTCCTTCTACTACTGGAGAGACTGCTGTGTTGAACAACATAACCAACATGTACTCTTAGGAAAATCATAGCATATTGTTAGGGGCTGGAGAGAGAGCTCAGCTGCCTACACACCTGCCTGGCAAGTGCAAGGTCCCAAGTTCAGTCCCCGGTACCACCAAAAGCCCCCCAAAATCCAAAACATACCATATTGTTAATAGGCCTAAAAGTCTATCCTTAAAGTCTGTAATGAGGTTTAACTGTATTTAAGCCACAGGGTTACCCCTAGGGTTCCAGTTTCAATCCATTTTATAAAATTCAAACTGTAGTAGCCTTTGTATGCCTTTAGTTTTATCTAAGTTAAGTAATTTTCTCAATGGTTATGTTTGTATTACAGGAGAAGGGCCACCACAGGCTTAAAAGAAGATGAAAAAAATCACACAAGCTGTTATACTGAATACTTGATTGTCAGAATTCTTCTAGTAAAGTTTTACAGTTTTTTGCAAAGAAGACTGGTGTAACTTTTGTTTATTTCTAAGTATTTGATGTCAAATTATTTCCTTTAATAATTTAAAAAGTATTAACAGATGTTTTCAACATACAGAAATGTAGTTGAAGATATTTTTGTTTCTATCATTTTTTTTTTTTGGCAGAACCAGGGATTGAACTCAGACCTTTGTGTTTGCCAGGGAACTGCTTACTCCACTGAGCCACCTCCCCGGCTCTGTTGTTTTTATCATTTTTAACATCATACTTTTTATTCCCCTTTCTAATTTTATGGCATTGGACAGACCCACCAACACAGTGTGAAATAGAAATGGTGACAGTGGGCATTCTTGTCTTATCCCTGATCAGAAATGGAAAAGAAGTTAACATTTCATCTAAGTGTTTAATGTACCATTTTGGGTAGATGGTATACTTTATCAGAGTATAGTTGCTTTTTTCCACTCTATTTTAGCTGAGAGAGTTCATCTTCACTGTACGTTGAGTTTCATTGTTGTTTCTGTTGAGATGGTCATAGCATTTTTCCCCTCCATTAATCTTGCAATCTTGCTACTGTAAATTATAATGGTAAATTTGTATATCTACACCAACGATGCATTCCTGGGGCAAATACAATTTGGTCATGATTAATGTATGTCTTAAAAATTGGTTGAGGATTTTTATGCTCTTGAGATACATTGTTCTATACATTTATTGAATGTGTTCCTGTTAGACATCTTTAGTTTTTGGAATTAAGGTCTCTGCATGGCTGTGAGTAATGTAATGCAGGGCTTGCCCAGGATGAGCTATTTCTGGATTGCCCCAATCTTACTTTTGCATGTTCATTAACTGGCAGAGTTAGAAGAGGCAGCTCCAGTTTGTCATCTCTTCAAATATTGTAAGACCCCATCATCTCTGCAAGATTCTTCTAGTGATGTTATCACGAGGAGAGCTATCTGCTGAGATTGTCTTTTTGAGACAGGGTCTTGCTATGTAGTTCAGGCCTTCTTGAACTCACTTTCTAGCCGAGGCTGGTCTCAAACTCACAATGATCCTCCTGCCTCAGCCTACTGAATGCTGGGATTACAGTTATGTGCCACCATGCCTGGCTCTGTCCTTTTGTATGTACAAAGTTAAAAGTCATTTCTTTATTGATTTTCCCAGATATTTTTTTTTGTTACTGGGGATTGAACTCAGGACCTTGCACTTGTCAGGCAGGTGCTTCTGCTGCTGAGCTATATCCCCAGCCCCCTTCCACATAATTTTGGTTAGTGCTTGATGTCTGTGAATTTGGTTGGCTGGCTCTGGAACAGTTTTAACAGCAGCTCTGTTTGAGTTTTAAAGTCTTAATAGTAACAGGAATTATAGTGAAACCCATATTTATTGGATATGTGCAAGTTTCCATATGTGTACATACTCATTTAATCCTCATAAAGGTGAGTCAGTTTTCATAAACTTCACAATGTCTGACTCCAGTAAGAAGCAGATTTGAGAATTCTTTTTATGTATTTGATACAGGGTCTCACTACACAGCTTGGATTTGTAGTGATCCTCCTGTTTTCAGCCTCCCAGTGCTGGAATTACAGGCGTGTGCTACTACTTTTGGACTAGGTGGCTGGCTCATTGTGTCTAGGGGCAGGGCTGGCACAACCTTTGGTGCTGGGAATCAGTCCCTGGTCCCTGTGCTTGCCTAAGCAAGTGCTTAGTCTGCTGAGCCATCTCACCAGCCCGAAAATTCTATTTCTGTGCTCAAGTTATTTTACTTAAAGGCTCTGAGCTTTCCTTGAAAGTATATCCCTACATGTGGCAGACCTCATGATACCTGTATATTGCCCATTCCTGCTTTTTTTTTTGTACTGTAAAACAGTGCCTTGACTGCTCTATGACTCAGATCCATGCAGATTTTTCTTTGCAGATTTGAACCTAGGCTGGGCCTTTGACTGTTCTCAGGCACTGGTAAAGCTGCTCAAGTTGTTGCTCAAAACACTGAAAGAAATTAGCCCTGTGCCGGAACCGTATTCCTTAAACTTTCCTGTAAACTCCACATCCTGATTCCCTCACTGTGGACAAACCTAGTGGGGCTCCTTTTGACACTGTCAATTAGAATCCTGTAGCTTGCACTGGAAATTTCCTGAATGCTGGGGAATTCTGAAAGGTCACCTGGCCTTCAGTGCTTGTTTGAAATCCTATGTAGGAATGGTTTGTCATTCCCTTGTGGGAATTCCCCTGCTGTTGCCTTTGGTAGTGTCCCCAGCCATGAGTTTGACTGGACAAAGAATGTTAGATGAAATCATTGATACAGAAATTGTTAAAATAGTTTTTCCATAAAAACATACTTTATTGCCCTACAGAAAAAATATAACCAGAATTCTAAAGCCATTTTTGATGGTTTGTGGGGAGACAGTTAAGAACTCTTGTCACAAACCATATGGCAAAGTGCTGCAACATCCCCGTCAAACCCATCTGTCCTTCAAAGGTGGGAGGGAGCAGCCTCAAGTCTCTCTTTTCTCCCATAAAATCTTTCATTGGCCTGTCAGTGACCATATCTC